GGCCGCGGGCGGCGCGGCGCGGCGCGGGGCGGGAGCTGCTGCTGCTGCTGCTGGCGGCCCCGCTCCGCTTGCGCGGGCAGCCCTTGCAAACCGCGCCCGAAAGGCGGGGCAGGCGGCCGAGGCGACGCGGATCCTTCAGCAGAATCCAGGCTCCGCAGGGAGCTCTGTTGTCCGCGGGAACCCGCCGGGGCAGCAGCGGCAGCTGCGACTGCGGTAACGAGCCGAGGAGGAGGCGGTGCGGGGAGCTTCGCGAAAGCCGGGCCCGGGCAGCGCAAACCTTCTCTCTTCACCTACAGGGCCTTGGCTTTGTTTTTCTTTCTTTCTTATTCTCTCAGTCTCGTTTAAACTACTGATGCGGACACTGATCCCCATAAAACACGTTATTTKAAAACCCTGGGGCAGCCCTTATTGAAATGTCTCTCCCTTACCGTGTTTCTGTCATTGAGCCCGGAGCTGAGGCTGCCGGGTGCCTGGGTGCTCTGTGGGGCGACGCTAACCTCAGCTCTGCTGCGTCCCGCTCTCACCTCCTGTGCAGCACCGAAACGACACACTCAATATTTGCTTTATTGTTTTTGTCACTGGACATTCGTCTACTGACTACTATTATGCCATTTTTTAACTGGTGACACTCTTCTTTCTTATTTGTGYTATATTGCATCTAGATCCGCTATTTAAATGGGTTAGAGCAAGCCAGACTTTAAGAAAATATAAAATAGAGCTTTTAATTTTAACCTTAACCAATTTTAAATTTTAATAAGATAATTGAAAGCCTAGCATTCTTGTAGGATGCCAGAGAATTTTGCTAGGGTTGCGTGTTTGATGTGGTTTTCATCTCTATTTCCAAGAGTAGAAATACGATGCAAAATGGCAGCAGAGTTAATCAGAAACATGGAACAGTTTGTGTTGTGATTATGTGGGTTCAAGAATAACATATAGACGTGCATATTTATTTTAATCCAATGTGTAATTAAACTACGGAGTTTGTGAATTTTTGCCATCTACAGACTCATGTGGCACAAGGTCATGAGACAGTTGAGTCACAATTGATGGTCAYGATGGCTTTTCCTTTCGTAGGAAATGCAGTATATAGTTCTTTATTCCTGAGGAATTCTTTTCCCTGTGGAATAGGCAGAGCAGAGTATCACCACAGGCTGCCCCGTTAGCGCCTTCAGAGGAGGTTCTGCTGGAGACCCGGGCCCTGTTCCAGGGGGGTTGCTTTCACGTTGTTCGCCCTCACTGAGCTGCAATCCACCACGGAGCATCGTGCAGCTGGCAGCAAGAGATCCCTCGGCTCTGTAACATTCCTGTTGGTCCCTTTGCTTTTAAGGATCCAAATCCGGGGAAGGGTTTGTGGGAGAGAAATAGCAGGACTGTGCTGCGCATAGCGTGGTGGGTTGTGGGCTTGGTTGTGGGTCACTTAGCTGTGCGCTGAAGGGAGGCCAGGCCCTGCGCTGCATTCTCGTGGTGAAACAAACACCGTCCAGCTCCGTTCTGGACAGCCTGCCTCGCACAGGAGRGTACTGGGCTCTGCCCGTCACGGCTGCTTCGCACGGGAGGTTTTGCCCGTGTTGGACGCGCTCTGAGACGGAGCAGCCGCGCTGGGCGCACCGCTCTCCTGTCACTGCCTTGGGTGAGCAGGGATCTCCTCTTAGCCCTGATCCCTAGCACTTGTTGAATCTTTCCTTGCAGCAAAGTGTCCTCCTGACAAGGAATGTCTTAAAGACAGAGAAGAAAGAAAAAAAATCTACTTATCCTCATGTTTGTTGCATCTTTTGGCTTTCCTGATGTTTTGGTCCATTTGCAGTACGGGTTGACCGCGTGCAGGGACCTTCTGGCAGTCAGCATCCCACTCCCACTGCTGGGTCCAGAGCGGTGGGTGAAGTCCCTGCCTGACTTCTGCCTTCCTTCCCTGCGCTTCCCAGGGAGCTTCTGGAAGCAGGGCCTGAGCTGGGGCTGCCGGGTGGCTGCCTGCGATGTGCGGTGTGC